ATAAAGTTACTGTTCCTGTACCAAATTTATCTGTCTTTCTGATGACAAATTAAAAATGTAACTCATGAAAGCCTTAATTGCAATGCACTTATCTTTGTTGTGGTTCAATTTGAAATTTTAACTGTGTGGTTTGATCAAGATTTAGTTTTCAGCTGTGTAATCTCTTTTTCACTCTTTATTAGTTACTACCAGGTACTTCCTTTAATGATCTTAAGGTTGGTCCGTACTTTCAGAATCTTCTGTCAAACTGATAATTTTTTAATTTGAATACCCTGAATAAGTCTTAATCTAACTAAAACACCCATAAAAGATATATCTTTGCAGGTTAATTTTCATACATCATGTCTCAGAGCACATACCTCTAAAAACTCAACAGCCAAAATGGAACATAAAGAGTTGTGATATCATATTTTATTTAGTTATGCATCAAATCACATCAAATTTATGTTAAAACTTATGAAAATCAAAAATATTCATTGCCAAGAGAATATTTGAAATCTTTATTGCAAAACATTACCAAATTGACGTTAAATATGTCCATGTCTTTCAAAAAAAATCTCAAAATATCTTTATTTTTTACAATTCTCAAAATCTAAATTGTTTAGATACCATTTTTTCTTTACAACTATTAAGAATTATACCTAAAGTTAACAAAAACACATACTTTATTATGATTGACCAGAGAATTTTAACAAAACAGTCTTTTGAAGACGTATACCCCCATTTTTGGAATATCATTTTTTTCAATTGTTCATCGCAAAAGTTTTTAAAAAGTAAAAATTAAATGGATGATATACACTTCAAATCAATAAAAATAGATCTCAGTTTAGTTTGCTTAAAAGAAAATTAAAAAGCTTTAGGTCCATAAAAGCAACTAGGAATTTTGTGTCTGTGTATGTACCAAATGACGTACAGATCCTATAGGCAGAGTGCAAAGTGTTAATTTCCATAAATAAGGTATATTAAATGCTTTGTATGCACTATAACACTATAATAAACAAATATATATGTAACGTTTCCGCCTGTTCCAGGGTTTGTTACAATGAAAATAAATTATTGTGGGTCTCCTGTTTCTGAATTTTACCCTTTAACTCTAAATGAAAAGTCAGGTTGCAAATTTATAAAATTTATTATGGTGCAAACAATGAATAACAAATAACAATAAGATAATTGGCAATTAGGCAATAATAAATTATGGGTTACCCGACAATAAAAAGGTATCCGGCTCTACCGGGTTACCCGGATGAATTTATAAACAATGAATCAATTGGGTATGGATCTGCCGGGATTGGCATCAATGAATCAATTGGGTACGGATCTGCCGGGGATTGGCAGATTGGATTACGGATCTGCCGGGCTTGGCAGATTGGGTTACAAATCAATTGGGTATGGATCTGCCGGGCTTGGCAGATTGGGTTACAAATCAAATGGGTATGGATCTGCCGGGCGGTTACCAAATATTGGTAATGGGTTAATTTACCTAATAAGGGGCATCAGATTTTACCCACTTCTGGGGAGTTGGGATTCTTAGAGCTGGTCAGATGTTGATGAGTCTGACCAACGTCCCAGACTGAAGAAAAAGTCCAAAGTGCCTTCTTTATATACCTTTTCATTACTAGGGCCGAATGTATCCACGCGCGAACTGAGCAGTACCGCTCAGTTTAGCGCCATATTTGGGAGAGATGAACGCTTGGCCTAGCTTTGGAATTAAACGTAAAAGGGTGTATTATAGGGAGATAATGGTAGGGGAATGTAAAGAAAAGACTTAGTAATTGATGCCATAGATAATACAGGTAAGAATTGGGGGTTACGGTTCTTGCACATACAATTATGTGCATGATTCAAATGTTTACATGGAGGAAATTCGGGTGACCCTACGATAATACATACAAACATGTTTATACAACATCATTATCAATAGTATGGTGATATTCCCACATCGGACAAATTAAGAAATGAGAAGATACAATATTAATAACACAATATTTAATAATCGGGACAATACAACATGACTGGGGTAGTAAAAACGTAACATATACTTACTAAATTGTTTCCAGTCACCCAAAAAGATTTTATGTCAATGGCCAAGTGATAATCAGAATTTTATAATGATATGTAAAATTAAAACCGGATCCGTAAAAGTATGGGCCTTCCTTAAGTATAATAGCTTTTTATTTTTCTGATGATAAAGTTAGAAATACAATTAAGACAAAGGTAATGATAAATTCTGAGTATATATCTTATCTGCAGATCTATACTGAAAGCAAGAGAACCATGGGCCACATTGCTCACCTGAGTAACTTTGGCCATGCTGATCTTCACCCATCTTCGATAGCCAAGGATTTCTGATACGCTCCTCTCCTCATAAACCCTTGGCCTACGGTGTTCATAGAAATCGGGATTTTTTTCCAGAGTTCTGATTGGATTTCAGTACACCCAGGTCGACCAATCAGCAATTGTTTTTTGAAAATGAGGATATTTGCGTTCAGAATACTTCTTGACTCTTTAATCTCGGAAATGAAAAATGCAAGAAAACAACAATCCGTAAGATAACATTCAATTCTATGAATAGCCATGGTGTCATCCAATATCTTCTAAATATGTGATTAAGAATCTATATTGAAGCTTCAGATTTGTTCTATAAATAATGAATAAACATAACTCAATTATTCCTTCTTAATTATTCTTGAAAAAACTTTGATTTAAATTTGTTTAACTCGTGTCTTTATTTCTGGCGATGACACAATCTGTGTGTACCTGATAAATTCGCGATCACGTGAAGGAAAACAATCCCGTCTTTTGACTTCACCGTATGCCAAGGGTTTATGAGGAGAGGAGCGTATCAGAAACCCTTGGCTAGCGAAGATGATCTTCACCAGATTTTCCCCTTGTAATATCCATTGTGGCCCCCATACTACCCCTCGGGGTCATGATTTGAACAATTTAGAATCTACAATACCCCAGGACGCTTTCACATAAGTTCAGCTTTCCTGACCTAGTGGATCTTGAGAAGGAGATATTTTTTTTAAAAATCTTACATATTTCAATGTTAAACTTGGATTACTCCAGGATGTTTCAAATTTTCTGACCCAGTGGTTCTTGAGATTAAATTTCTTTAAAATTTTTCCTAGCATATATTACAATGTAAAACTTGGGATTCCCTATTGTGGCCCTGCTCTACTTGCTCTGTCTAAAAAATTTAAACTTCCCTACCTAAGGATGCTTTGTACCAAGTTTGGTTAAAATTGGCCCACTGGTTGAAAATGTGAAAAGTTTACAGATAGACAGATGGAGGACAAGGATGATCAGAAAAGCTCAATTGAGCTTTCAGCTCAGGTGAGCTAAAAAGTGATAGATAATCAGAGATATACCCATTAAAAAAATAGTAGTTGATCATTCCCATTCCCATTTTTTTAAAAACCAGCAAGCTATTGATCTGCAGCTTATATGATGAAAAATTGTTGAGGAATTCAGCCCATATATAGTGTGTACCTGATCCCTTTCTTTGGGTTTTATTTTGCAGAAAGTTTACAGTGTGCCTCATTAAAGCAAATATACACGTTTTACATAGTTACACTAAATGAACATGTATGTTCTGAAGAAAGTGATGGTAAGTATCTTGTTTCTTACTGCTAATTAATGAAAATAATCGGCACAACAATAAAGGATAGACACCTCAATTCTATTACTGTAGATTCCTTTATTTTTCGCGAGTACTTATTATCACGAATTGCCTCTTCAACGTCAAATCACGTGAATAATAATTTGAAAATGGACGGTTGATCAAGAGATTTTACATATATATTTCAGCACCATAAAAATAAAAGCGAGTAATTTTATTTCATGCGTGGTGCTTCTCGCGAAATTACATGATAGTGTTAATTCCACCCGTATAATTAGGAATCTACAGTACCCTATTTTTTTCAAATTTTTAATACTTTTTACCCTCGTAATAATTGACAAGTTATTTTTTAAATCTCTAAACTAAACATCATTTACTTTTATTACTGATACAACAGACAAAATTTTAAATTTATTGACCCTCCAGAATATTTGTTGGTTCTCAAGCTGATGAAAAGGTGTTAAATTTGTACAATTTTCTTTTGACATATCTTACTTATTATCATTGAACATGTATTGTTTTCAGTTTGAGTTCAGAGATGTGTTCCACAGGGTTAAGATCTAATAATAAAAGAGAATGCCTAAAGATAAAATTAAATCTTGTTATAAAAGCATAAAACTGCCAATAACACCAAAAAAGAAGAAGGGGGAAAACTTGGTCCAGTTATGCCAACACTTAGAATGGAAGATGGCAATCCTCTTTCTTTCCAGGTTTTCATCCAAAATAGCATTATTTTTTAACAATAATATCACTTGAAATAATTTTAAATTGCCTTAATGTCTTTCGAAGAATCTATTATGTCAAAAATTTATTTTTCATATAGATCCGGTTCTTAGTTATTGCTGCTATAAATAATTCTGAAATGCCTAAAAATCTTCTCTTTTTTATCTATGCTGTCAGCTTTTTTTTAAGATTATAAAAATACTATCTTTTTTTTTTTTTTTTTTTTAAGAAATTTAAGAATAATTTAAGTATATTATTTTTTATAATTAATTCTGTCAATCCGAACAATTTTCATATAAAAAGATTTTACTAGAAAATCCAACTGAGATGTGTTTTTAATTTTGCATTTTTCGTAAATATAAACTAATTTATCCCTCATCCCTAATTAAAAAATAAAGTTCAAACTTCATATATATTTTATTAGTATATGTATTGTAAAGTATGTTTACTTCATTGGGAGAAAAGAAATTTTACATGTTGAAATTGAAACATTTGTATAAAAAAAAAAAAAAAAAAAAAAAAAAATACATTACAGTCATTATGAAAAGGTTCTGAATCATATAGAGCATGCACCAACAGATGATGATTCAGTAGATCCTGCTATTATACACACAACATAAAACATAAAACAGACAGACAGACAATGTAAAATTACCTGCACTCCCGCCCACAAGCTGATGTCTTCTCTCTGGTGCCGATCAGCCATGTTGAGCCCATAGCAGTCAGGACTGAAAAAACAATAGGCAATCTTTATCATATTTGTAGTACAATTCAGCCAAAAAAAAAGATGTACATTTGTTTGAAGTATAATTCCAGAAATGCATGTGGAATTCAAAAACAAAAGAAATATTTTTTGGTTCCTTTTTTTGATCATACTTCATTCAAATTCTTTCAAGGCATGTTTTCCTTTTCCTAATGATATACAACTAAAACCTATGACAGAGATTTCACATCGCTGAGTGTATCTGTAAATTTTTTCCCCAAAATTTTAGATACAAATTTGACTGGGTTTTTTTTTTAAGTTGTGCAGTATGCTGCAGCAGGTTTTTTTGATTACATCTTTTGGCTGCAGCCTGAGGAGTACGGGGAGAAAGCGACACCACTAATACAAAGTGACATTTATTAAAGTTAAAAGCCCCGCTGATCTTGACAGGCAATCCACAACCTCTAGAGTTAGACCCATCAACGAGCGGGTCAAGAGCACCTCTTAAAAGAGCAGCAAGTTTTATTTTCTTTTTTGAAAGAGATAAACATCTCGCATAAAAAACTCCTGTGGTTCTCGTTTTTTCCCACTCCCACTATAATAGCTTTTTATTGGTTATAAACCTTCCCAATAATTCTAACATATCATTTACTTTCTGTCCTGGTTTTATTTACATACACCATATCCAGAATGGTCCAGAGTTTGCCAACAACATACCCATGTGCAGCAGAATCTATACTGAAAACATCAGTTTTCTTACCCTAAAATTGAATGATTTATAATGAGTACAGGTTTTTATCCTGTCTCAAACTGTCAGGAGTGAAAGTACAGCCATACATATTACATAATAAAAGTGATTAGTGACACAACATGCCATAAATTCTTATTCTGTGCATTTAGAATTTCACTTTATCTAATCCAAATGATAAATTCTTCTAAGATTCCATGACCTTCAGCTCAGGGTCACGTAAAATGGTGTCACATCCGTTCATCCGCAACCATTTCCATCACATGGGAAGGAGCGATGCCAAATCCTCTGCCAATTCTACAGCTCTGACACATGACAGAGTTGAATATATCAGGAAGCAGGCACCTGAGATCACACATACAGGAAGTCTTTACACAGGGAGAAAGTCTAAAGTACAAGGTTATCATTAACACACCTTACAGGGGGCATCCAGTGGAATGACCCCCACAGGTGCAGGTCATGTGCAGGTCAGAGGTCAATGGTTTCATCCACTGGGGATTTTGAAGTGGTCAAGAACTTCTGATGCTGTTATCTGAGATTAACCATTTATTTAACAGGCGTTCTCTTAGAAATGTGATCCTATGACCAAAGGATATGAAGATTCGAAAATTCAATATGAACATCAGCATCTGAGTAGATGCTTAAGTGGTCAAGAGAACCTTGTGGTAATTATAACTAATTCAATGTCAAATCAGATAAGTGACCTTACAGATGTAGGTCAAGAGACATGATTGCTGCAGAAAGTGGCCATATTGCTTGCACTGTCAATTTATTAAAACACAGATGCCATGGGCACTGCATATTTGTGAATCTACAGTGTTTCAAATATCAGAAAGCATTTTGCATAAAAATATTAAAATAAAACAAAATATTAAAGATGTTTTTTAAACAAAATATATTTCAAAACATATTAATATTCATGTACATAATGTACATGTATAGAGTGTTCTCTACAGACGACACTAAGCCAGGAAGTGTACAAACAGATCTGTGCCCAGGCTAGCTAAGTAGGACAAAGGAATGACTGGCTACAGCTCACATTACAGTAGATGTATAGCCCCATCAGTCTCCATTCACATGCTCACTATTTACAGGTCTGAGGCTGAATGTTTAATGATTTAGCTAAGTTGTCATTACATAAGCTAACTGCACCTGTCTGCAATATGTACCATTTATTTCTTGCACTGATGCAAGAGAACTGCCAGATGAAGAAAAGGTTTTAACCCAACATCAATCCGTATATTTGGTGCAGTACAAAATTAACAAGACCCAGGGGCAACAATGCTCACCTGTGTCATTAATTCTTCATCAGATTTTTGCCTACAACTTCTAATGTAAAACTTTGATTGCCTATTTTGGCCCCTGACCCTATCCCTGTGAGATCATGACTACACTAAATGGGAATCAATGTTTCCATTCAATATGTCTAATCTGGCCTTTGCTGTTCTTGAGTATTTTAAAATAAACATTCCAAAGTAAAACTTTGATTGTTATTGTGGCCCAACTCTGGTCTTATGGGTCCCTATTTAAACTTGAGTTTACACTGTATTCTTCCCTTGAAGGAGAGCATGACCCTTTATTTGAGGAAAATTACACAATGAAGATGTCACCAAAGACAATAACAACAGACAATAGACATACTAATATCAAGAAAGCTCACTTGAGCATCTAGTTCAAGTGAGCTAAAAAGAAAAGACAGCTAGAACCCAAATGGAAAGCTAATTTCAGTATAAATTCTAGGAAATATTAATATCAGTTATTACCTGGGTAGGTATGTTGACCGTCAAAATGACCAAAGGTTCACGACTCACAAGTATTATTGGGCCATAATTCAACCCATATGTCATAATGGGCAGTTTAAAATTTAAATTTGACACTGGATACCTCAAAAATCTATATTCTCAATGTCATGGATGGGTCAGAATGATTTGGAATTACAGTGAAATTTGTCTTCTCTGAATGTTGTGTATTCTGATATCTTACCTAATACGATGTAAAGCTTAACTCCTAATTCCAATTGATTCAGTCATTTTAATTTTTTAAAATGTATAATCCAGATTGTTTTCTAATCTGGTCAATTTTTATGGAACCAATGGTGGCTGGATTAGACAGGTTCTTTCTATACCAAACATTTTTTGTTTATCAAAGAATTTTACCTAATTCCCAGTAAATATCAAAATTGAGTTCAAGATAACAAGGTTTGACTGTAATACAAAATTATCATAACATGAATTTTGATCATTTTTCTTTGACCTATATATTGTCAAATATTATCCATGGTCATCTTGAATTCAAATCTGGGCTCATCCTTCGGTCATTTAAATGTCAACAAATTAAACCACGTCTCATTTTTATACAGTAGAACAAGCATCTTCAAATAATTTCAGATAATCATCAACTTTTGTTTACTGTAGATGTACTTTTTTCCACGGGGTCATAATTCCACGGGATCACAATATCAGTTTAATCCGCCGGTAAAAAATTATGCGGATTCTTGACATATCAAAAAATATTATACAGTGCCTACATTGAAAAATGACTATTGTTTTGCTCAAATATATGCACATATATCCTGTGCATATTTGGTGTTTTCAAAGATCAACTTTGCGAGTATAATGATCAAATGACTGAGAACAACAAATGTATGTGGAACGTTCTCGCCAGCTCGGATCTCGCTAGGAACAACCATTAAAAATTGTATGAAGAATATTTTTTCTGAGTGTTACACTCACTGGAAAAATGCAGTTCATAAAGACCTTCATCTACAGTTATCAACACTGAAGCCTATTCGTGTTATTGTTGGGTGGCGGATCAATGCACACCAGTCCGTTCAAACAGAAACCCATGTTCAAGGCTTTGGGAAATCGAGGATTCTTTCAGGAGTCAAAAAGCGACAATTTGTAGATCCCCTGATCGTGAACTGTGACTGGTTAAATTGTGCTGGTGTCGCATAATTTACATTCCAGATGACTTGGTGTTTTATTCATTTTGATATGCGTTTCCAGGCACTAGTATATAGGTCCCTAGCTTGTCGTAATTTTTAAACCAAATATTAAATATTTCAAACATCATTAGTAGCCAATTTTTAGGTTCACATCCATTCAAATCAGGTGTTGAACAATTCAATCAATTACAAGTCAATAACAAAGGGATCTGAAAACTGCAGTAAAAACACCGGTCTTAGCGTCTGTTTAATTGGATCCGCTTGAGAACAATAGTCGTGTGACATGTCCATTAGCTGAAATTGTTGGGTAGGGGAGTTCAAATTTAATGCAAGCATATTTAGGCAACAAAAAAATATTAATTTTAGAGAATGAGGTGATTATTCTTTGAGTTCTCAAACAGAGAGCTTAAGGTCAGACGAGACGTTCCCTAAAATCTGTTTTGTATATCTTCGTAAAGAATGAAAAATATTCAAAATTTTAATAACATTCTGATTTCTAAACCAGTTTCTAAACGTTTTTAAAAAATCCAAATTGAACACTTAAAAATTTGAAATTGGAAAATTATTTTTCTTCCCTAAAGGATTATATAAGAAAAACTTCCCCTGGTATCTTGCAGAAATGCCTGGTAAGGTACCTCAATTTTTCGTGAGTAAACATGTTTTAGTAGCAATACTTTAATGACAAACTCTTGGAAAAATTTATCTATTATTAAGGAACGTCTCGTCTGTCCTTAACAGGTTTCACGTTGTTTTCACCCATTAAGGAAAGATATACAAAGAAAATATACATGTATACATACGTGTTAATTATGTAGTACCTTTATACCCTCATTAATTTGATGCATTTCATTCCCAAATGCACTTTTAAGTATGCTGTGACAAATTTCCACGGAAATTTGGTGACCACGTTCATAGCGTAAATTAATCCAACGTGGAAAAAAGTACGTCTACAGTTTAATTAGGATTCTTTCTAAAATTCATCATTTTTTAAAGGCATCTGATATATAGCATCACCACCTTATTTGCAACACTTAACTCAACTTCAATCTCCAATATACAGTAAATCTGGAAATTTTACGTCAATTTTACTTTGTGAATTCCGGTCAAAATGCTGTTGATTAATTTTTACGTTTCAAAATTTTGCGAATCACTACTGCTTTGTTTACACTTTCTTACTGGCGATGTTTTTTTAAGAAAAATATTTTTGCGAATGCAATGAACTCGCAAATTTTTAAAACTTTATCAGCAAAAATTTCCAGATTTACGGTACATCCCATGTCACACTAGTACCCAGCATTGGAGAAATTATTAAAATAAAGCTTGGATAATTTATATTGGATATTTGGATAATAATTCATTTTTATAATTATTACAATTCTGCAACTTTAATTTCATATTTTGGAAAACTATTATTCAATAAAAATAAATAATTTTACCTATGAATAAAGAAAAAACACATATTAATTTATACAATGTTTACTGGTATTACCACTGCGAAATTTGGACAAGAATTCAATTGGAGACACTTTTCCTAAGCAAAGAGATGAATTGAGTGACACAACTATCTGTAGCCTGAACTGTATTTCTTCCTCTTAGACCCATTAAAGTGAAGCATGGCTT